TTGTGGCTTTTAATGAACCTGTACATTCAAAATGATGTGTGTACTGGAAATTACATTGTGCATCATCCAGAACCAAATCTATAAAAAGTTGTTTTAAAATAATATAAAGCAACACAACTACCAGTCCCTAAAATAAAATTTGATACTATTAATAATACATATGTTAGAAAAGTAATTTTATTGGGGAGGTCTAGATGGCTTAGTCATTAATAGGGCTTGTTGCTCTTACTGAGAACCCGACTTTGGTTCCCAGCCTGTGTCAGGCAATTAATAACTACCTGTATCACAAACTACACAGACCAGACAATCTTCTGACCACTGATGATGGGAATAGTATTTGGACTTACAAACCTACACAAACAAACACACACACACACACACACACACACACACACACACACACACACACACACTCATGTAACATGAATTGCTAAATGTTCTTATTAATAAAAAACCCTGAGCCAGATATTAGGGTGAGAGCTGAAAGATCAGAGGAAGAGAACAAGCCTGCCACAAATTCTTACCACTAGGAAATCCTCAGCCCAACAGAACTACTTCCTTATATACTCACACCTTATATACTTTTCTGTGCCCTGCCATCTTACTTCTCTCCACCCAACTAATTAACTTCCTCTTTCTACCCAGCTCTTTCACTCCCTGTCTGTCTGTACAGACCTCCAGACCTCTATGCTTAACTAGTGCTGGGATTAAAGGCATGTGCCACCACGCCTGGATCTGTTCCCAGTGTGGCCTTGAACACACAGAGATCTCAATGAATCTCGCCTCCCAAATGCTAAGATTAAAGGCGTGTGCTGCCACTGCTTGACCTCTATGTCCAATCTAATGGCTGGCTCTGTCCTCTGATCCCCAGATAAGTTTATTAGGGTACACAATATATCACCACAACTCATTGCCCCCATATGCACACAGATTAAATCAATAAAAACACTGTTTCTTTAACTTCTTTGTTTTATTATTTTCATAAATTTATATAACAATGAAATAAAAGTTTTTGATGCATAGGAGGTGGGAGTAACTGTATTATAGTTCTGCCTTTTGCACAGGAGTTGTAGGAAGAATCAATGGTAACTTGTTTTCTCACTTCTTGAAAGTGGTTAAGAACATAGACTTAATTGCAGCATTCTAGTACTACTCTGACTAACTGAACAAATCATTTAATTCTGAAAATATCAATCAGGTACATTTAAAATTATTGTACATATATGACATAATAATTTCATACAAATAATTTCTATTTTGATATACTTTTAATTGTTTTACTTGAACACTTGAAACCAGAAATCAAATCTAATAATATTTTAAATTACTGCCTCTCTAATTAAGTCAATACCTTCAATTTTAAGGTCATCTTTTTGTCCTCATATCTTATTTTTATGTTTCCATATACATTACAGAGATGCACTCTTATTTCTGAGTTTGTTATATATTATAATATAATAAAATGGAATACAAAACAGTCATGAAATATATTCATTCCATAGCTGGAAATCAATACCTCCAAGCAGTGTAATCTTTTAAAGTATAGATTCTTTAAAATAAATGGCCTATTTTAGAAATTTAAACAGTGATGAGGTTTAGACAACATTGTTCAAAATAACAGCAAGTAGTATTACCACATTGATGAACAGTCTGGAACCAATAAAAATAAAACACACTGAGAAAATGAAACATGTTGAAGGAGGTTTTTTATATAGTGGATTTTCTCTGAAGGAAGATAACTCAATCAACAGTTTTATCTATCATACAATATCTTATTAAAGGCTTCAAATGGAGTATCCAGATTTTATACCTAAGTCGATAGTATGATGCCCTAGGTAATTCTGGGAAAAAATATTTCACTTATTTCTTTTCATGTCTTTAATATTGACAGTGAATATTTTAAAGAAAACTTATTTTTTCAAAATGATTTCATTTTGGTGAATATTCTGGATGTCATAAAATAATGTATTTACATTTTTAGTTTAAAACTTTGCTGATATATGAGCCTTCAGTGTGCTGATGATATTTCAATTATTCTTAATATTTTAGGAGGGTTACGATAGAAAAGGAGAAGAAAAAGTACAAAGAGAATTGGTTTAAGTTAATTATTATAAATCTCATGTTTTCTTAAAAACAGAATTCAATAGTCTCATGCTTGATGAGGTAAAGTATCTGAAGCAAATGGACAGGTAGACAAACAATATAGGTTAAGTCCAATTACAATGACTGCCATTTTAAAATTGTCGTTGTTTACTGTAAATGGAAGAGAGTGTATATGCTTAACCCACTTTATAATTTCACTTAATTCAACTCAATTATTAACTCTATTATTAACTCAATTATCAACTCAATTACTAACTCTATCAAGATAATATGGCATGTATAAATACCAACATAACCTGCTGTCATTGGAAAAGTTAATCCACCAATTGGCTTAATCCCATGAGCAGTTTAAACACCACTTATAGACACCAGTGGATACCAGCAACAGCAGCAGCATCACCACCACCACAAACACCACTACCACCACCAACAACAACAACAAACAACAGTGAAAAAAAAACCCAAAATGTTCTGTTCTTATTACAAAAATAATAAAACAATTAAGTAAAAAAAATCAGCAAAATTTGAACAATGTGTTAAGAATTATATCCATGCAAGGCACATATACTTCTGTTGTGCATACTTGTAAACTTTATTCTATTGATGGGAATTCTTCTAGTTACACTGCTTTGCTGATAAAGGTAATGAAGCCTTACATGTGTCTTAACTTATTCAACTTCTTAAAAGCAGTCATTTGTATAAACAATGCTACTTTTACTCTTCAGATTTTATTATATTTATAGTACTTGACATTGCAAAGCAAAATAGACAAAGGTTGCACAAAATCATAATTGTTGATAACTGCAGAAACTTAAATGCTACACATGTGGAAACTGAGGTATATACTGCATTAAAGGGATCTTCAAACATTAACACAAGTCTTAGTATGACTTCCATTCAGATGCTCTTCCCTCCTTAACTATAAAATAAATTGTACAATCATAAACATTAATAAAAAGATTGTCTTTAGTCTGTTTAAACAGGGAGATAGAAGGAACTTAGCATATATTTGTTGTCTGCATCTTATTATTTGGTTAGTACACACCTGTGTAAAAGGAAGTAGGGAAGTTGTATGCACAAACAGCAGCCTGCTCTTTGTGCCCACCACCTACATTCTGCACTTTTAGTGTTGTCATGACATGACATGGTAGAATGCCATGTGGTAACTGTGAGAGGGCTTTATCCTTTTCCAATCTGATTATGTTTTAAATATCTGCCTTTAGCTATGACCCTGATTCTCTTCAGTTATAAACCTTTATGAAATTCACTTGTTTTAGCATTTTTGAATGTTTCTTTTCAATCAAGATTAGAATTCCAATATTCTCTGTAATCATCATAAACATTTACATTTGTCAGAAAACTCAGGAATCTTGGTCCCTGGCCTATTCATTTATTGAACAGCAGTTTAACCAAAGCCTATATTATGCCAAGATCTATTATAACCAAGAGAAAGAATGACACACGCAGTCAAGGTCTTTGTCTTGAAGAAGAAGAAGTAAAGAGGTCATAAATGATTCTACAAACAAACAGTATTTTTGAATAAGTATAAATTCTATGAACAAGGCAAAATATGATGATAATATAGTACAGAAAAGAAAGTTTTGCTGTATTCTTGGTTGGCCTTGATAGCCTCTGAAACACATTTAAGTAGCAAGTTAAAAGTCACTTGAATTAAAAAAATATGTTAGGAAGAGACACACACACATGATGTTTGAGATGAAAACTAGCACCAGATTTGTTATTTGGGACTTACATAAGTGCTGAGTTCGGCATCCCCTCTATAAGAGAGATCATAAATTGGCTCAGGTTTTCAAGTACCCTACATGATGGTTGGACCACAAAAGAATGCTCTGATAAATTTTGGAGATTTTTATATATGTGATGACTTGGTGTACATCACATCCAAGGTGAAGACAGAGTTTCTTATGGAATATATTCTGAAATACTTAATTGTCTGAATTTCTGGCTGAATGGTTTGTGGGGCTAATAACAGGAAAGACTGATCCTATAATGCTGAGAACTGTGAAGAAGGCAGGCTTCCACAGCACCGCTCCCTTGACAAGATCAACACAGCCACCTTTTGCAAATTCATGGAGCAGCTGACAAGGAAACACAAATTCTTCCCTCAGCTTCCTTGTCCACATTTTTCTGTCAGTCTCATAGTAGAATCAGGAGTATCAGTTACTATTTGATGAATTACTTGGAAGCTACAGACCTCATGGAAGACACATACACAATTGCATATAGAGAAATGGAAGACTGAAAAGTATTTTGTGACAATGTCATATTTTCTTTCTTAATTTTCTCCTTAAAGTCCCTCAGAATTATTTAAGATGCTGAATCTGAATCACAGTATGAATCCCATTTTTAACCAGGCTTAATCATAGGTTTCTTACCTTCACTAAACTAAGAAATAATCCAAAGTATTTATCTTTTTGAAATATTATCAATCAGCTGTGATACTTTTATCCTTCCCATAATCATAAGTCAAGTACAGACTAATAAAAGAGTAGAGTTTAAAAACATGTAATGTTACCATTTACTCCTGGAAATCATTTCTTTTCTCTGTTACCAGAAGTAATGATTCTCACCTGCATTGAAGCTATTTATTTCTTTAAACATGATTTACCATATCACTTTGTATAATAGATTGTCACAATTATGCACACATTTCATGTATATTGGCACTCTAGGAAGATTTTAGGGGGACACTAAGTAATACTCTCATCTTTTTCAAGTGTGTGAATATTATAGAAGGCATTAAGTGATCAGTTCATCAACATTTTTGATAATGAAGAGAGTCTACGGTAGTGATATGGATTAAGTGATCCTCTAGAGTGAATATACACTTTTCTTCACAGGCAAACACAAGCACAGATATTTTCAAAGGCTCCTACCTCCCAGAGTAGCAGATAGCAAGAAATGAGTCCCATATTTCTTGATAAGGTTTTCTGTGATTTGCTGAAGTGTAGGTCGCCGTCCCAAAAGCCTTATGTTCCGGAAGAATTCAGGGGCAAGAGGCAGAGGAGAGCCCAGGAAATTTCTTCTCTCAACTGCAAGGTTATTTACCTTCCAACGGCCAAACTCCCTGAAAAGCAAATTTATTTTTATTCACAACTGCACAATCTGAGTGTTTTCACTTGTAAAGTTCACGTAGAAGTTGAGCTGAGGTCACTACATTACAGTGACTGCTTGTAGAGATGTGTCAGGAGGTATAAGCAGAAGAGGCCAAATCTGTAATTCACTTAACTGGAAGTGAAACCAACTCAAAGTGACAACAGTAATCTACTTAAATTGAACAGCTTCCACTGATGCATGTTCCCATGGACATGCATATTCATAAACCTTATTTCCTTTTGAAGAATATGAATGTAGTTATTAAAGAAGAAACAAGAATAATAAAAATTGAGATAATTTATTCTGAGAACAACAATTAAAAATAAAATTAATATCATCACTCCCAAGATATCTTTTCCATTGATTTTAGAATATGAACTCTTAAATTTTGGGAGAGATTTCAGAAATGCAGGAAAGTTTTTTTTTTTTAAGTCACCAAAATGAACAACTATATCATTTTTATAAAACTTGTCATATGTCTTTCTGGTAAAAATGATTAGAGTATGCCAGGCAAAATATATGATTATGGATATATCTATGATGGAGAATCATGCTACCATAATGACCATCTTCAGGGATTTTAACATCTAGTGGAATTTCAAAAGAAAAAAACAACAAAGAGAAGAATTACATTTAACAATATTCAAATAACATGTTCTGAGAATTACACAGCCCACCTTCAATAGCAGCCAATGATACTGTGGGATTGTCCTACTTTTTAATTAATTGCCAGGGAGGGCAACTCTGCAAAGGCAGTGTGTTAGGCGATACTCAAAGGAGAAAGGGCTTTTCAATGAAGAGAAGTAGGGCAAGGTTTTATACAGATTAGTGAGGGACAGTTGGGTATTTCTAGGAATAAGAGGTCAGAACTTCGCATTCCTAACTGCATGTATTTTGCAAACGTGACATGTTTGGGGAGTTTAAAAACACCCAATTTTTTAAAAAACTGATTGTAAGGTAAGATTCACTAAGGAATCTAGAGAAAACGTTATCCCAAAAATAACTTAGCTTACTCCTTCCTTTCTTGAGTAACTCTTACTAGCTTCCCGATTAGATCATTCAAAAAGCTTTAAATATGTTATCTCCTCAAGAGCTCTTAAAGTCAGCAGTTACTAGAGACACTTGAAAATTCTACTCTCATGTTACTGGTTCATTGGATGTTAGGTGGAAATGACGTTATACATTTTAAAATAAAAATTTAGTATTGTGTATTAATTTTATGCACAGTTTCATTATGCAATTTGCATGTTTGTGAACAATTTAATCATAATCATCCTCATTTACCCTCTTTTGACTCCAGTCTGTCCTATTTGTCTTTCTCTTCTCAAATACTGCCCCCTTCTACTTTCATGCCTGTTTTCCTTTAAGTCTTAATTTCACATATAGTTCCTTTAACATGATTCATTTTCTGCAAATGGCATAATTCTGTTCTTCTTTATTGCTGAATAATAAACAGAAATATTAATACTGCTGTTCAGGGAACCACACTGTAACGAAAACTGCTTTCTATATAATTTATTATATTCTCTTTAAAACCATTCAATGTGTTGTCCTTCATTAAACACACAGCCTTTAACAACTGAATATACTATAATCCTTCATACGTGTGTACACATACACACACACACACACACACACACACACACACACACACACCTCTTTTTTTACCCATCTAAGCTTGAGTTAATGTCAATATTATTGTATTATAAAATCCTCTTTTATAAAAATCTGCCTGAAATGTTTTCATATTTCAGTCATAGTATAGTGTAATGCATAGAAATATACATTCAAATGTTTTAAAATGAGATAATTTTACATGAAATATATATTGTATTATTGTCAATATGTCAACAAGTTTAAGTAATACAGGTCTGTGAAGTTATTTGTTAAAAAATAATTTGGAATTATGCTTACTCATTAAAGGATGTATTTAAATAACAGTGTCTTACCAATTAAAAACATGTAGTCTTATATTCAGCTATAATAAATGAAATTCTGTAATTTGTGACAATTGTGATTGGAAATAATAACAATTAGGTAAAATACACCATGCAGAAGAAAATAATCATGTGATTTGATTCATGAGAGGGATCTAAAAATTGTGCTGGCTTATACATTATGAAAGGAATTCTGGAAAAGACATGGGAAACAGAAGAGAAGTCAAAGGAAAGGTTGAGCAATTGCTACTACTGATAGAGATATCATTCACTTAATGCAATGTCACTAGCTAATGCAAAAAGCTAAGGAAAGAATTTTTCAGTTTTATTCATAATAGGATGATCAATATTTCAGGAGCTTAAAATATCTATCCTGATTTAGATATGTTATTTATATGTATTCTTGAATAAAAACATCATATGGTAGCCCATAACCATGTAAGATGTTTGTGTTTTGATTATCATCTAAAATAGTATATTTAAATCAAATAAAGTAAATCTCTAGCCTCTTGGACTTGAGAATTATACTGAGATACAAATCTGTGTGAGAGAGACGAAGTTAAAATGCCGTAAAATATCTCTTTCTGTATATAATACAAGCACATAGCAGTTCTTTTAACTCAGCTCATTTCATGACTATTGTTTGATATGAATTTTTCTCACCTAGCTCATTTGGTGTTTTGACTTCTCTTAGATTCACATGCCTTACACACTGAAATGAAAAGCATATGTCCATGAACACCCTTATGGAGTGTGCTTCACTTCTCGATGGTTTTGATTATCTGTTTACCATGTCCAATAAGCTGACAGTCTCAATTCACCTTTTATCCTTTACCTTTGGATAAAACACTTTTTTATCTTTGATCATTATTATTTTTCTCAATGTCACCTATCAGAAAAAAAAAAGACAAAAGGCATGCTATAGATGCCACTAAACACAGATCAACTAAGTATTCAAGTAACTTACAAGAAATTATTTTCTTAATTGCCAGAGCATTAATTAAGATTCCCTTGCTCTCTCCCTCTTCATATTTTCTCTTGATGAGTCAGATAAAATATGACATAATTGTATGTCCAATATTTTTATTTTATGAAAACAGAAATTTATAATATCCAATTGGTCTCTTGTTTCTACCTAGAAATGTTATTTGAACTGTATTGATATGTAACCTCTTATACAGACTGTAATGCTTTTCTGACAATTCAGACAAAGCTACTGGAACAATCCTGGGAAGAGATGATAAAGAACATTCTAGAAAAGGAAATTGTCTCTGGAGACTAAGGCCTACTCAGAGATAAGTGCAAATACACATTGTCCCTTTCCCAGGCATAGGATCAGTTGGCATCTTCTGCTGTTCCCTAAAGAAAATGCAGGTGTCTTTGATCAATGACATTTGAACATGTTACATCAATCTGTTTCACTGTTCTGTTACTTGAATGGACATAGATTATCACTCCACATGTCCTCAAACCTATCTTTGCAGACTATAGGAACAAACAATATGTATGCATGGATTAAAAATAAGCATGCATGTATGAAATCAGTGAGATTACAGATTTTTTTTTTGCCTTTTGAATTGCTCTCTAGAAATATTTTCCACATCATGACAGACACATTTTGACACTAGGAAAACTTCAGGAAACAAATTAGAAATCAATATCTGTACATGAATTGGAATCATAGGAGTGAAGTTTAAATTCCCCTTTCATGAAGAAAGGATGCATCTCATTGGTGATTTAACACTGTACTAAATTTCCTCAAAACAAAGCAAGGTGGTACTCAATTGAAAGCATGTGAAAACTTGGTATTAGGTATGATTACCATAATAAGAACATTGTACCTAACAACATCTTAGAATTCTATCCAAATGTTGTATTATTGGAACATATAAGAATATTTTGATAGTTCACTAAGTCCTTCATTACTACTTGGAGCCTACACAGAACATGAATAAATTCCCATTATAGCCATTGGAAGTCTTTAAATGAAAAAAATTACAACCATTAGAATTTAACATATCTTGGCCCCTTTATAAACACAACTATTTCTATAGATTATAAAAATGAATCATCACCAGTTCAAACAGATCATCAACTTGAAATGTCACTTTTGGTTCTATGTAATCTCTTTCATTTATTAGTATTACATGGTTCTTTGCTAAAAATTCTGACTTGCAAGAATCTATAATTTGTATCCACATACATTTATTTACCTACAATATCAATTATGGTTTTATTCATACTTATCTTACAAAAAAATTGGGAAAACAAGAATTACATCATCAAAATGCATTGAAATTATAGTCATATAACTTCCACATTGCCATTGTCCTCTCTTATTCATACTTAAGTCGATGTCAAGTGATAAATGTGCTCAATGCAATTAATAACACCATAGTTTCTTTTTGATTCCTCAAAGGTAGAGAATTAGTCACAGTATATATTGAAAAATTTGAGCACAATATCGTAGGAACAATCTGTCTAAAATTTTGAAAGAAAAAAGATAATGCAGTTGCTAAAACCAGATTTATCTTTAACTTCTAATTTGCTCTAAATGAAGTTTTTTCCCTCTAATTACTCAAAGTTATTAATTGCATCAGTTTTCACGTTACTACATTTGCTGGTTGTGGTTTATTTTTTATCAATACTCATTAAATTTACAAATATAGTTTAAAATGAAACATATTATTGAAGTAATAATGTAAGCATAAATTTAATGAGTATTATAAAGTGACCTGCCAACTGTTAGTAGCAATAACCTTGTAATTGCAGTTTTAAAGCATACTAATCTTAAGAAATGTCTGTAATGATTGATATTTTCCATAATTTTATTATGTGTAACTGTTATGCATATAATTGGCTTGCTTTTACCATGTTCCCATGCCATTTTCTGATTTTACAAATGATGTTTTCCATCTGACTGGTAAAAATATAATTATCTCTAGTGGCTGGGATGATCAGAATTATGAACAAAGAATCAAAATAAAATAAAATAAAATACACAATCAAAATAATGGTTCATGAACCTAAACAG